CGCGATCTCGTTCTTTCAGTCACTACCCACAGCTCGTGACCATAGCTGAGGGTAGGGACGTAGATCGACCGGTAAAATGAGAGCTTCGCTTTTACACTCAGCTCTCTCTTCACCACAACAGACCGGTACTGCGTCCGCATTACTGTGGCCGCTTTTTACTGAAAGGGTGCACCTCAAACCAGAGAAGTAGTTACAATAATGCACTGAAATGGGAAATGGAGCATATTCTCCTTGTTTCCAACACAATATATTTTATTCTTGGATTCCTAAGCAGCTTTGGATGGTTCAGAGTTCAAAATACTTTGATTTTAGCCTCAGTTTGACACTTCAGTTCATCTTTTGTCTTTTCTTGGCTTCTCTCCCTATAAGCCAACTTTCGTCTGATTGGTTTCCCTCATAAACAGAAGATTTGAATTGTAAGGAGGACCTTTTGTGCTCATGGTCAGAACTGCAATTCTCAGATGAAAATATTGAGGATATAACAGAATAAAAGTGAATGTCTAGAGCATTATGAAGCGTTCGGCTTACAAAGTTTACATGATCCCATTATCTGAAACTTTCCAATATATTATAGTGAACATTCACAACTACAATTTATGTGGATTAAGTTGGGTAAAGATTCCTTTAATAGGTACTCCATGGAGGTCAAAGGGCCTTTTTCATCATTGGTTCAATAATAAATACACATTTAACGTTGTGGAACAGTCATGGACACTACAGATGCTAGAAGCCCTCTAACAGAGTAAGAAATGTAACAATCAATTTGCACAGATGAACTCAGGGCTTGTTTGAGTTATTGCCATTCATAAATGCATACAGAAGTCCAGACTGAGAGACTAAAGCCACACTGAAGACTGTTTAGGCACAGGTGCTTTGTTCAGGGATATTGACAATGACAGTCACTGTATTCATATAAACTCTTTCTCAAAGCCTGTTTTCCTGTCATTGAAATGTGTAGCTTCTTCAGCTGCTCCCCTGCTTCCTCCAGATATTTCAGAAGCTCCACTTCCTGATCTTACTTGATCTGAAGTTCTTGCCCCTCTGGATTTGTGTGTGTGTGGTTTTTTTTATCAAAGCTGTTCCTTGTGGTGTTTACACATCTGGATTCTTGAGCATCACCTCTTTTTCAGCATGTTCAGTAATCCTAGTTAAAAAATACAATGTTACCTTATCATTTTGTGTTCTTTGTGATTACATAAAACAATGTATACAAATCACAGAGGAGAGAATTCACTTGTGTTTCTTTAATGGTTCAGTTTATCCCACTTTTTAAAGTATTTTTCTGAAGATTTGGAATTGACTTATTTTGATTCTTCATAATTGAAAAAAATAAGTTTAGGGACA